GGGGGAGGAGGAGGAAGGGGGGGAGAGAGGGGGGAGGAGGAGGAGGAGAAAGAAGAGGGGGACGAGGGGAGGGGAGGGGGGGAGGGAAAAGGAAGAGGGGGGGCAAGGGAGCGGAGGGAGAGGGGGATGGGGAGAGGAGGGGAGAAGAAAGGGAGGGGGACAGAGGGGGAGGGAGGAGGAGGAGAAAGAAGAGGGGGACAAGGGAGGGGAGGGGGCAGGGAAAAGGGGGGCAAGGGAGGGGAGGGGGATGGGGAGAGGAGGGGAGAAGAAAGGGAGGGGGAGAGAGGGGGAGGGAGGAGGAGGAGAAAGAAGGGGGGGACAAGGGAGAGGAGGGGAGGGGGGAGGAGGAAGAGGAGAAAAGGGACACCCCCCCCCCAAACTCTCCAGGCGTTTCCCACCCTCCCCCTTCCAGCTAGGTGGTCCACACTTCCCCCCAGGCTTTTTGGCTCTTGATGGACTGTCCCATTTATCCTGGGGGGGGGAGAGAGATGGGAACATGCCGGATTATTTGGTGAGGGGCACCCTCATTACTCTGTGTAAAACCCCCCCCCCTGCCAATCAGGCTGTATACAGTACAGGTAGTCTTCAACTTACAATGGTTCACTTAGTGACCATTCAAAGTTACAACAGCACTTTAAAAAGTGACTTATGACCATTTTTCACACTTATAACCTTTGCTGCCTTCTCAGGGTAATGGGATCAAAATCCAGACGCTTGGCAACTGACTCATATTTATGACGGTTGCAGTGTCCTGGGGTCACTTTTGTGCAACCTGCTGACCGTCGAAATCAATGGGGAAGCCAGATGATTCCCTTAACGACCAATTTACTAAGTGAGCAACTGCAGCGATTCACTTAATGATGGCAAGAAAAGTCGTAAAATGCGGCAAAACTCACTTAGCAAATGTCTTGCTTAACCACAGGAATGTCGGGCTCAATTGCAGTCGTAAGTGGAGGACTCCTTGTATTGCATTCGCCTTGATCGGAATTTCCCAACCTTGGAAGCTTTTTAAGGCTTGTGGATTTCCATATATGTATATGTGTGTGTGTGTGTACAGACACACACACACACGCACACACACATCATTTACATTTACATTTTGCGTTATCTTTTCTTCCTGTTATCTAACCAAACATACAATTTCTCCCAGACCGAATAGTATTTTTTTCCTTCTCCTGCAATTCTATTGTAAATTTATTCATTTTTACACAATCTATAATTGCACCTCTTCCTGCTTAACGACCTGCACAGTGCTAGGGTTAGGACAGAAAGCAGGACTGCGAGGATTGTCTTGTGCGTTGGGCTGTATGATCACTGTGACAAAAAGCCTGATCGCAATTACTGTCATAAGTCAAGGAGTACCTGCACTGCATTGTCCTTGAGATGCAGTGGTCTGTGAATCCAATCCCTTCATGATTTTAATATTCTTAGAGGCAACAAAAGTGGCCGTCTTCACACATCGCCTTAAGCCAGAGTGTTCTTAACCACCAGAGTGTTAATTCTGTTGCTATGGCACCCTTGTTACACTAGCTGTCAAAAAGACAAGCTCCGTTGTGACAAGTCAGTAATGGAAACAGTTGTGTCTAGTTCATTCAAACGTGTGTTGTTCCGCAAAGACAACATACTTTGTCATATAATATACAACATACTCTGTCATATATGTTGGTATATGCATAATTTTGTATTTATTTTGTGATGTTTAGAAATAGAATAGAATTCTTTATTGGCCAAGTGTGATTGGACACACAAGGAATTTATCTTGGTGCAAATGCTCTCAGTATACACAAAAGAAAAGATACATTCATCAAGAATCATAAGGTACAACACTTAATAATAGTCATAGGGTACAATAAGCAATCAAATCATACTAGGAAACAGTCTCTATAATTCGTAAGGATACAAGCAACAAAGTTATAGTCATGCAGTCACAAGTGGGAGGGGATGGGTGATAAGGAGTGATGAGAAGATTAATAGTAATAGTAGTGCAGATTTTGTGAATAGTTGGACAGTGTTGAGGGAATTATTTGTTTAGTAGAATGATGGTGTTTGGGGAAAAACTCCTTGTGTCTGGTTGTTCTGGTGTGCAGTGTTGTATAGTGTCATTTTGAGGGAAGGAGTTGAAACAATTTATGTCCAGGATGTGAGGGGTCTGTAGATATTTTCACAGCCCTCTTTTTGACTTGTGCAGGATACAGATCCTCGATGGAAGGCAGGTTGGTAGCCATTGTTTTTTTCTGCAATCCTAATTATCCTCTGAAGTCTGTGTCTGTCTTGTAGGGTTGCAGAACCAAACCAGGCAGTTATAGAGGTGCAGAGGACAGACTCAATCATTCCTCTGTAGAACTGGATCAACAGCTCCTTGGGCAGTTTGAGCTTCCTGAGTTGGTGCAGAAAGAACGTTCTTTGTTGTGCTTTTTTGATGATGTTTTTGATGTTAGGTGTCCCTTTTAAGTCTTGAGATATGATAGAACCTAGAAATTTGAAGGTTAATGTAGTGCCTATTGGAGGTAGAGGCCCTTTTGAGAGCTGTATGCAACAGAATTTCATTTCAATGTATGCCGATTAGTGTACATTCAAAGTGACAATCAAGTTATTCTAAGTATCAAGTCTAAAGAACTACAGCTCTCATATGCCCCAGCCAGCAGGGGAAGTGACCAGTAATAAATCACAGGTAAGGTGACCAACTTTTTTACAATGAGGAGGACACAAATAAATTGAAGGAAAAAACCCAAAGCTACTTGTGCGTGGCGCACTCTTGCGTGAGGGATAATTTTCTGCAGAGGTGACTTCTTCCTCATTCAAAACTACTCTCAGGTCACGTGATGGCACCTCTCGGGTGGGCTGGGCTTCCTTCACCTGAGCCACCTGGAATGGTGGGGATCTTGGCCACTTTAAGACTGATGGACTTCAACTCCCAGAGTTCCTCAGCCAGCAAAGGAGTTGAAATCCACAAGTCTTAAAGTGGCCAAAGTTGGAGACCCCTGGGATAGGAGACTGAGGGGGATCTCCATGAAGGACGCCCCTGGACAGCATTGCTTTTCCTGCGTTGGAGCAGCTTGGTTTGCCTTGACGGCAGTAAAGGATAGGAACAGCCTTGCTTGCTCCCTGACGAGTTTTACCAGCAGGGCAGAAGTTGATTTTCCCAGCATGTCCCCACACCCTGGGATTACCTGGTTGTCTCCTTTTCCAAGATGCAACTATTTTTTTTTCTTTTGATACCAGCCAAAGGACCCGGCCTCAGTGCCCAAAAGGCTCTTCCTGGGTTTTTTTGCCATCCTGACGACGACCTTCTAAAAGGAGTTTGAGCAGGAGAAAACCTGGCATTTCTACGTCTTGGGAGATTCTCAGTCCTCTAAGTCATGATTGTCCCAAAGGTATGTTTTTTTTCAAGAGGCAACTCTGGACTTTCTGGTTTTTCTTTAAAGACGTTTTGTTTGAAGACTCTTCAGACTGAAGAAGCTTCTTGGATGAGAAGCGAAACGTCTCCAAAGAAAAAGTGGCCAGTGGCCTCTTGAAATAAGCATCTTGGGGGCATAAAGACACATGCTTTTTTTCCAAGAGGCAACTGGGCTTTCTTGTTTTTTCTTTGAAGACATTTCACTTCTCATCCAAGAAGCTTCTTCTGCTCTGACTGGATGGTGGCGAATGGAAGGATTTATACCCTTTGCAGACAGCCGGTCATTTGCATCCTTTTAGAGAGCCGTTGAAGCACTTGGAGGTTTATCTGTATCCTCAGGGTCACCTGAGTCTGCAATTGTTTCCTCTGGAAATCCATTTCTAATCCCACATCAGAATTAGAATTAGAATAGAAAATTAAACAGAAAATTGAATAGAAATAGAATAGAATACAGTATAGTATAGTATAGTATAGTATAGTATAGTATAGTATAGTATAGTATAGTATAGTATTAGTATTAGTATTAGTATAGTATAGTATAGTATTAGTATTAGTATTAGTATTAGTATTAGTATTAGTATTAGTATAGAATAGTATAGAATAGAATAGAATACTTTTATTGGCCAAGTGTGATTGTACACACAAGGAATTTGTCTTGGTGCAAATGCTCTCAGTGTACATAAAAGGGTGTTTTATTCATTATTTATTATTTATTTCGTTCAAGGGGTGTTCACCCCTTATTGTACAGCCAAAACTCTGTAGAGATTCTCAGTCATCCTGGCTGACCCAAAGGTGCGTTTTCAAGGGGCAACTGGACTTTCTTGTTTTTTTTTTCTTTGACGACTTCTCATCCCAGAAGCTCCTTCAGCTCTGACTGGATGGTGGGGAAGGGAAGTCAGAGTTAAAGCAGCTCCCTGGATGAGAAGCGAAGCGTCTTCAAAGAAAAATCAGAAAGTTCAGAATTGCTTTTTGAGGGTTTGGGGAGGAGAGAAAGCACCTGTGGCCTCTCTACCTTTTTTTTTAAGTTTACGATGCGCGGGACCTCTCGCGAGAGGACGCGAGGCGTCCGCTAGGGGGTTCCCACGCGCCCGCGTTTTGCTCTGCTCCGGAAGCGGAAGCCCATTTCCAGAAGGCGGGCTCTACTGCGTCCGGTTCAGGGGGTTGGCGGCTCGCTTGGTAGGAAGGCTGGAGAAGGTAGAACTTTCCGGGGGGGCAGCCGCGACCCTTGCCGAGAAGGGAAGGTGCCGCAGCGGGATAGTTTGGGCACGGGAGGGCGGGTGGGGTGGCCTTCGCTGGGAGGCTTCTCTCTGGCGCAGGTGGCTCCTTTGGGAAGGGAAGCTTCGCCTGCCCCGGTCAGTCCTTGGATGGGAGGCCACCAGGAGACCCGAGGCGCGGGCGACAAGCTTTTCTGACACGGCACTCCTCTCTCCCGTCTTTCCCTCTGGCGACCACCCTGCGAGGTGGACTGGGCCAGGGGCCTCCAATCTTGGCCGCTTTAAGACTGGCGGACTCCAACTCCCAGAATTCCTCAGCCAGCAAAGCTGGCTGAGGAATTCTGGGAGTTGAAGTCCGCCAGTCTTAAAGTGGCCAAGGTTGAAGGCTCCTGGACTGGGCTGAGAGAGGCCTCGGCCCCAAAGGGAGTCTAGGACAATTCGCCCCAGGGCAGCTCGCTGCAGGACAGGAGTTACTCTCATATCCAAGGTGATGGTGGAACAGAATCCTTAAAAGAAAGGATACCAAAGGGAAGGGGCAGAAAGAAAATGGGAACGGTGAAAATTAAAATGCTCTTTTTAAATAATAATCAAATAAAAATAATGCTAAATTGTCCCGCAGCAAGTTGGCTGTGGCAAGTTGTCCCATTCTCCCGGCCCAAAGTCCCCTAGCTGGATTTCATATCTTAAGACCAGGCTACAACTTACCATCTCCTGCCTTAGCTTAGGCTGAGTGATGGCATGTATGTGTGTATACCTGTGTGTGTGCATGCACATATTATGCACGTGTGTAATATACATGTGTGTGTGCATGCATATACTATGCATATCATGCAGGTATAGAACAGGCAGCACCTGGCTAAACAGCACTAGGAGTCCCAGTGAATGATCCCTTAAATATGAGCTGGCAGTGTGCAGTGGCAGCCAAAAAAACCCCAGTGCAATCCTTGGCTGCATTAACAGAGGGGTACAGTCAAGATCGTGTGAAGAGTTAAGAACCCTTTATAAGGCCTTGTTAAGACCACAATTGGTGTACTGCATCCTGCAGTAGTGTCCTAGTGTGCATCCTAGTGTACTGCACCAGGATATTAAAAAAAAAAACTCTACAAAGAGTGCAGAAAAATGTAAAAAAAGGTGATTAAGGGTCTGAAAGCTAAAACATGAAGAACAGTTTCAGGAACTGGGTATCGCTGAATTTTGAGATGCCATTTAGCTCTGCAAAGATTTCAGAATTCTGCTCTTCATCTTCATATTTCCTCTTCCTCTTTTTATTGATATTTTCAGGTTTTAAGCATTCTTGAGGCAGCATGATAGATCCTGTTGAAAACAATTTATTTGATCTTCCTGATTATGAACACACCCATGATGAGACCTTTCAGCCTCTCCTACCCCCAGACTCTCCAGGCGGGGTAGCGGAAGGTGCCTTACTCAATGGAGGTAACTACTCTCTTGACAATTGAAATATTATGCATTTATTTGTGAATAAGCCTTACATTATTTGTTGGGGAGTTTCTCCAAAATATACATGCATATAAATGATCAATGCTTAGTAATACCAGTTTTTTAAGAGGAATTCATTTTATATATAATTATATGCATGCATACATATATAGCCATTACGCTGCACATGGCAAAGCTGTGGCAAAACCTCCTGAACTAGTGTACATATTTTCTACCTTGCTAAAAATATCAGGTATAATTAAAAATGATTTAAAAGGGTCATCTAGAGTCACTGAAAGTGAGTGGGCGGCTATATGCATTTTCTAAATAAAAGCTAACATGACTGGAGGAGGAATTCTGGGAGTTGAAGTCCACAAGTCTTAAACTTGCCACGTTTGAAGACCCCTGATTTAAACTGTCAGAACCACCAGCTCCGGCTTGGAGCTTTGCCGGTGTTCTGCCATCCATCAGGAAAGGGAGGGTGGGGAACAAATGGGCAATTAAGCTGTATACCTTTATGGTGGGAAATTGGAGGTGGGAATTGACAGTTGAGGAAGGATAGTGCGATGACCCAGAGTATATCAGAAATATAACAAAATCCAAAACGTAACTAAAAGTCCTTTAATGCCTTCAACTTGTTATTTAACTGTTTAATTGTTCACAGTGGAGGAGTAAACTATTTTCAAAATAAGATTTCAAAGGAAAGAAACACAGTTCAAAGTCAAAGAACCGATAACGAAGCAAAAAACAAAAACAAACCGCATTCAATAAAGTTCCACAACAGACCAGGATAGATCATTGCCAACTTCAGGAAGATAACCAGGGACAGTCCGTTGGAAGAATGCCAACCAAGATAAACCTTATTTAGGAATAAAACACTAATTTGTCTCCAGCATCTGTTGGCACGCAGGTCCAATCTTTTATGCAGATCTCACATCTGCAACCCATGAAGAGGATCATGGCCCTCTCCTTCCGAGTAGACCACATTTTACCCTGATCCTCTCCTCCCTGCGTGCCCTAGGATGGATAGGGGATGGGCCTGGGTCCTCCTCCGACTGCTCAGAGTCAGTCTCCACCAGGGGCATGACAAACAAACAGAGTGCTGGCATCTTCAAGGCCGTTTATCCCAAGAGTGGAATTTCACCAGCCCAAACACCTCAGAGTTTCTCACAACATCTCGGCAGTATTGCACAGATGGACCATGGGAGGTGGGGTGGGGGGCTTGGGAAAACCAGGGGTTTTATTTCTGTATTGGTGCGTGAGAATTTTTGATTCCACTTGAGTCTCCTGCAATCTTAGTAAAAGTGTCTTTTCACTTCAAACGGAGTCGAGAGTTTTATTCCCTAAGCCGGGATCAGACTGGGGCAGGTCTGATGTAAACTTTGCCTTCATTTTGCTTTCATTTAGCAGTCTGATTGTACTTCATCTAGAATTATTTGCTTTTTGAGGGGTCCAGGGTATTCTCATGATCTTTTTCCGCCACATTGCAAAGATATTTTTCTTCAATTTATCTGCTTTTAAGGTCCAGCTTTCACAGCCTTTTCTTATATGGACTTGATAGGATGTATCCTTGTTGGCAAGAACGGCCTCTTCATTTTAATATTTACTCAAGTAGCAGATGCTCCTCTCTGCTATGGCCCTGGGAAATCATCCTTGCACATTTTGAGCCGGGGGAGAGGTTGACCCTGCCTCAGTTCTTTTAGTATTGACTAGCATGTTAGCTTTGGCATTCTCTTCTTGCTTCTACATAGGATTTAGCTAGATCTGTTTCTGAATACATGAATGATTTCATGACGAAAATCCAGTAGGTCCAATTTGTGTTCCTAGTTTTAGAATTAAATTCTATTCTATTCATCAGATCCAGAGGGAAATCAGCTGACACAAAACAAGGATTCTTCTGTGACCGCAAGAAGAGCTGTTAAAAGAACAATACCTAAATTAGATGCTCAGAGGTACGTAGTCACTTTTTACTTTCTGTATGGTGCATATCCTTTAATTATTTTTTTTTACACGAGCCTCAGTTACGCTGTTTTAAAAATGGTTTTTGTGATGCCACACTTCTGGAAGAGAAATGATTGGGTATTTTTTCCCCTGTTGGCTTGTTTCGTGCCCTCCCGAGGTTGTGAGAAACCTCTTCGTGCTGAGTGTTGGGGCATCCCTCGGCGGTCTGTAATTGCCACTAGAAATACTCGTGCTTCTCCCATTTGGCTATGGGGTTGCCCTGACTCGCTTCAGGGATTTTAACATCTGATTTCTAGCTCTTAGATTATGCAGGTACTCCTTGACTTACAACCATTCATTTAGTGATCGTTCAGAGTTACAGTGCCACCGAAAAAAGGGACTTGTGACCGTTTTTCACACAACCCTTGCAGCATCCTCATGATCACACGATCAAAATTCAGACAGTTGGCAACTGACTCACATTTATGACGGTTGTAGTCTCCCGGAATTACATGATCCCCTTTTGCGACCTTCTGCAAGCAAAGGTCAGACTTGCTTAACAAGCGAATTACTAACTTAACAACTGCAGACATCCACTTAACAACTCTGTGGCAAGAAAGGTCGTAAAATGGGGAAAGACTCACTTAACAACTGACTCGCTTAGCAACAGAAACGTTGGGCTCAATTGTGATCGCAAGTCGAGGATTACATATAATTTGTGTAAAAAAAACAACCATCGAGGCTTTTTTCCGTTCTTACGTAAAATGTGTTGATTTGGAAATGCTGGGTTCAAAATGTCCTCATCCTTTTATGAACCCAGATTGGGGTGCTGGGAAGCTGATTAAATGGCTTGAAAAGTAAATTCTCTAAAATGAAAACGGTTCAAAGCATTCCAGACAGAACTCCCCAGCTGAAATCACTCAAAAAGTATTTTCAGATGCCACTAGTAGCCAGTTTTAAGTTTCTGGGTGTTACCCTAAAAAAGGACCTGACCTGGGGGGGGCTCCCATTGCAGCCCTGGTCAAAAGGGCCCAGCAGAGATTCTACTACCTGAGACTTCTCGGAAAACAACAACTGAATGAAAAACTGCTGGTGACCTTCTACCACTGCACCATAGAGAGCATTTCAACTTACTACACCTCTGTATGGTTTGCCAATTGCACAGGGGCAGTTAGGAAAGCACTCCAGGGGGTGAAGTCATTGCGCAGAGGATCATTGGTTGCCCTCTCCCTTCTTTGGAAGAGCTTTAGACCTCCTGCTGCCTTAAGAAAGTCCAAAACACCCTCAAAGATCCATCTCATCCTGGGAACCCTTTTTTTGAACTATTACATCTGGCAGATGGTACAGGACAATAAAAACAAGGGCAAATAGGCTGAAAACAAGCTTCTGTCCCAGGGCAGTAGCTCTTTTGAATTCTGCTGTATAGCGCAGTGTTGGTGAGGTGTCGGCAGTTTTCGGTTCAATGTGTGGAGAGTGAAGGATGTGTGTTTGTGTTTATTTTCATGGTCATGATGTGCACTGAAGATGGTGTTTGCTTTCGTTGTACGAGGTGCAATGACAATAAAGTAAACTAAGTAAACTAACCTATTTCTCAGTTTAGCAAGGATTGGTAGTCTTAACAGACGAGTCTAAAGAGTTGTCATATTTGTCACTGTCATTCAACTGCACCATATCCATTGATCAAAGCAGAGCAACAAATCCTGTTGGCTGGGCAAGGACTAAGGCCCATAAAGTGTTGGCTTTCTCTTTCAAGATCTTGGATGATGGAGTGCCTGTTTATGATATTTTCCAAGTAACTGGAGACCCTTCTAATGTTTGCAGATTGATTTCAGAGCGAGGACTTCCAGCTTTGTGCAGTTTGTTCGACAACGTAAATTTCAAAGGGAAAGGTCACGAGGTAAGAAACGGCTGAGAAAGAGTTTGCGGGTTTTCGCAGTTGTTTCATCCATATGTAGTCTGCAGTTATGTCGAAGTTGTAATGTTCCAAGATGAAGTTTGTCTTTAATGTACAGGTTGACGTTTTCGGAGCTTCCATGCCAGTCTGTTTAGCTTTATTTGAAGTTGTATAGAATTGATTATTTTAAGTAATTTTTGTTTGATGCTATACTTCTGCAACGGTTGAGGCTCCAATCTTTGCCGGCGAAATAATTATTCAAAGAAAGATAACCTGTATAATAATGAAACGACGGACATCCTTGACTTACAACCACGATTGAGCTCCAAATTTCTGTTGCTAAGCGAGACAGTTGCTAAGTGAAGAGAGCTTTACGACCGTTCTTGCCGTTAAGTGAATCCAGTTGCTAAGCTACTAACAGGGTTGTTCAGTGAATCCGGCTTCCCCGTTGACTTTGCTTGTCAGAAGGTGGCGATGGCTGATCCCCTAGGACACTGCAACCGTTGTAAATATGAGTCAGTTGCCAAGCATCCGAATTTTGATCAGGTGTCCATGGGGGATGCTGCACCGGTCGTAAGTGTGAAAACCGGTCCTAAGAGATGGATCGGTGGGCTTGAGCAAGGGGCTGGACTAGAACAAGAATAAAAAGAAAATAAGTTCAGACTAACAGCCTCCTGACTGAATGCCATCCTAGCCTGGTCTTCGTGGCCTTTTAGAAGGCTAAAAAGGGAGGGTTCCCTCCAGTCTCCTGTTGCTCCGCTGGTCAAATGTATCCTCCTTTATTTAGGAAGCTGACCTGAAGACGCTTATAAGGCACATGGAACACTGGGCCCACCGCCTCTTCCCTCAACTTCCGTTTGAAAACGTTGTGGAAAGGATAGAGAGCTTGGGAAATAAAAAACCTGTTCAGGTGACTGTTAACGGGATGACTTGGGGTGGGATGAAGCACCTAAGGGAAAGCCTACCGCCTCTTGACCTGGGATGACTAGTGTTACCTCTGCCCCTCTAGGCGTGCTTAAAGAGAATTCGACTTGATCTCCCTCTCTTGAATGAAGACTTCAGAAGTCACGAAGGCATGTATTCATTCAGTACCGTTCAACCTGAGAAGTGGCCTAGAAAGAAAATGCGTTTCGAGTACAAACCACGTGGCTGCAATAAATGTCGGTTGTATTTGTAAGCAATGCAATACATCCCCAGGTAGCCACGCACATTAATGCGATGGTTCCTGCCGACAGCGTCTGTCTAGTTATCAGATTGCTGTGCGATGGTTCCATACATTCATTTATGAAAGAATGGGGTTGTGAAGAAAGAAAAACGATGTGTCTGTGGTTGCTTCGGTACGGATCCCAAACAAATATAGAAATAGTTGGTTTTTACAACTAGGTTTCTTCATTCTCATTCATATCCAACAAAGTCCTGGCAAACAGTCTTTCAAGAGTGATTTACAACTACAGACCTTATCAGCTTGGAGAATTGCCAGGCCGATAGCTTCCAAGCACAACGTTGTAGCAGAAAATACTTGGCAAGGAGTCACGACCAAATCTTCACCCTAATTAAATGAAGTAATTGTCTCCTGCAAACCCCACTCCCCTTTTGCTCCTCTTTATTCCCATTCACCATCCACCTATGACTTTATTCCCAACTCGACCCTTGTTCCTTAGCTGTTCCTTTCTTCTGGCAGCTCTGCGCATGTGCACACTGGGAACAGGCTCCAGCTGTTCTTCTGCCCCACTGATCTCCGACCCCGAAAGCAGCTGATAACTGTCGGACAGCCTTGGCCACACTCTGCCTTCAACACAGAGCCCTCGTCAGAGCCTTCCTCAGTCTCCAGGACTGGCCCATGCTCCTCCCCAACGTCCTCACTGTCCGAGTCTGCTGCCAGCTCCACTGGCAGGCCATAAACAAGATCGAAGGATAAATAAATAAAGGAACATTTCCTGAAAAGAGGGCATATTGATTTGGGCGTTTCTACCAGCTTAACTGTAGAGGTTGCCTAGATCAATGTTTCTGAACCTCAGCAACTAAATTGTGTGGACATCAACTCCCAGAATTCCCAGGATGATGTAATGGGAAATTAAACAAATAAAATGAATGGGTAACTATGGTCATGTTTGTGTTGAGATGTGAAACTTGGAGCCATACTGCTTGCCAAATGAGAATTCTTTAATTAAAAAATAAAATAAAATGAAAACGGGGAGAAAATTGAATAATGGAATTACTAGGTATGTTTAACTGATATGATGGTAGGCATCTGGAGAGAGTAAGGTTGAAAATAAATATGAAAGAAGTATGAATTAATATGAATATATGCAATGAGAAATATATGTTATATTGATGCCACACTGTTAATTTATTGTTATATGTCGATTGAAATAAAAAAAAAAATTGGGGAAAAAACCTCCCAGAATTCCCTAGCCAGCCATGCTGGATGGGGAATTCTGGGAGTTGAAGTCCACACAGCTTAATGTTGAAAAACACAGACCTTGCTGATAACTGATTAATAGTGATCCTCTTCCATCCAAAACAGGTGTAGAAGATGAGAACAATAGACACAGCCCGGCCACGGAAGAACCAATTTTCCTTCCCGAAACACAGAATTCCCCAAAAGAATCTGGTTCTCCCTCTTCAAGTCCTGCCCTGACCGAGGAGCAGCAGCAGAGAATCGAAAGGAACAGACGAAGAGCCCTTGAAAGAAGACAGGCAAAAAACCAGCTCAGTCAATCTCCAAACGATGGTGAGGTCTAAGTGTCAACTGTGACAGACCGAGGCAGTTGGGGACACTAGAATTCTCAGATTCCTGCTCAAAAGTCACAATGTTAAATCATTTAAACCGGGGGTCCCCAAACCTGGCCACATTAAGACTTGTGGACTCCCAACTCCCAGAGGTTTCCATCCCTCAAATGCTGCTTTCCTGAAGAAACGAAGAGTCTTGTTTTAAATAATATTTTTCATATTCTTATTACATAATAATAATTGAAATAAGTAGAATTTTGATGACAATGGCTGGAGGGAATTTTCATATTTGTGTTGCTGGAATTACCGATTCAGGCTGTGGTTGAAAGTCGATGCCTCTTGATTAATTTGGTCTTTGAAAAAAGGGCAGCCGATCGATCTCCATTTAACGGTAACCTTTGAGAGTAACGACAGTAGTGGAAAAAAGGCAAGCCTCTTAATCCACATCGTTGGGAGACCAAGATTCATGCCAGTCAGTTGTAGGGTGTGTTTAAATCAGGGAGGGGCAGCTGTGGCCCCTTGATGGCCTGTGGACTTCAACTCCCAGAATTCCCAAGCCAACCTTGCTGTGGTTTATCAAGGCAGCATCCCTTTTTTTTCCTGAAAAAATCTGATAGAGTTTACAATGGTGTCTTTAGTTTTTGGACCCCTGGCAAAAATGCAGGAAGGCTGCTACAAACAGCGCCTGCGCTGTAAACCAGTGTTCGCCCAATACAACCATCCCAGCTGTTGGGTGCATGGCTCCAATAATTATTTTCAATGTGGCTGTAGAGGAATATTACTAAAAACATAAGTCATGAACTATATTGAAAGTTTTTTTTCCTCCTGTCAAATTGTGTCCAATTTTCAGAGACTGTACAGTTTCCTTGGCAAAGCTTTTCAGAAGTGCTTTGCCATTGCCTCCTTCCTAGGGCGGAGGGAGAGTGACTGGCCTAAAGTCACCCAAATGGCTTTATGCCTAAAGTGAGACTAGATCTCCTGGTTTCTAACCCAGTACCTTCTCCACTACCCCAAATGGGTCATCTTGAAATCTTACTTGGGCTTTAATCCCCTGTATTTTTGGCCCCAAACTTCTTTCTTTCCTTCCACGTCCTTCCACTGTGACTTCTGGCCACCTAAACGGTTGTGCACCTTTGGTGTAAGCATTTGGGATGAAACTGGGAACAAAGGAACAGCTCAAGGTTTCTTAGGTTTTGTGCTATTTATGTTTATTATGTTTTTTTATTATGTTTATTATATTTATATTTATTATGTTTTGCGCAAGATTCTGATTTGAGAATTCTGGCCTGATAGGACTCTATTGGACTTGGTTATAGTCCTCCATGGAAATCTGTAATGATCCGTATGCACGTTCAGATTTTTTTAAAAAACACGTATTTTCTGCAAGTTGATACTTTGGTGATAATTATTTCCCATTCTCAACTAAAGAGATTATTTTCACTTCATAAAACTCAGGAAGCAATTGACCAGCTGGAAAACTCTGCCATGGTAATTATGTCAGAGGGAAAAAAGCTGATCCACAAATCGTGATTTTAAAGCCAACTTTCTGTTTCCTTTAGATTTGCCTACCAATGAAGAATACGGCACCATTACAGCTCAGGAGGAGGAGGAGGTCTGCATAGACAAAGTTGGTGTCCCTTTTCAACCTACGGAGGACCTGCGAAGTAGTACAGATCAAGTGTCTTTTTAATTGTGTGGAATAGGAATAGCATAGTTTTGTTTTTACTGCAACTTTAAATGTGGTGGCTGGTTAATTTGGCAGCTGCTATAATTTCCAGTGTTTTCTGTTATGCCAATGTTTTAAAGAAGTGTTTTCATTTCAGTGAAAGAACATTTTAAGCTTTAAACATTTGTACAGCAAATTTTAATGAAAACTATACATAAAAGTCAAATGATGCTATATTTCTACAATTTAAATCTTTTATAACTTTCCCATTGTGAAATATTTGTAATTGCCCATATTTTATACTAGAAATGAAAATAATAAATCTTGTAAACTAGAACGAATATATAACCTGAAAAAAAATCTATTAATATTGTAATTGCTGGTTAAAAGCTATGGTTGTCTTCTAGAAATTGATATCCAGATATTCTGGATTTAAAGGCACGAACGAAAGGATATGCAGAGTGAACTAAAATCACGAAAGACTACTATCATGTCACCCCTCATTCTTCTTTTCTTTAGACTAGCCAGACCCAAAACCTGCAGCAGTTCTTCATGTATTTGTCTCCTGGCCTTTGATCACCTTAGTTGCTCTTCTCTGAACTTTTTCCAAAGTCTCAACATCTTTTTTTTTGTAGTATGGTGACCAAAATGGATGGCAGCATTCCATTTCATGCAGGTTACAACTAATACTTAGGCCTTTTTTCCTCTCTTGTTCAGTCGTGTCCAATTCTCAGAAACTGCTTGGAAAAGTCCCTACAGTTTCCTTGATGAGGATTTCCAGAAATGATGCACCATTGCCTCCTTCTTAGGTCTGAGAAAAAGGGACTGGCTCAAGGTTACTCCGCTAAGAGGACTAAAACTCAGCAGTCTCCCGGTTTCTGGCCCGATACCTTAATGTCTGTCTGGTTCCAACTTATATCTAGAGACTGGATTTAAAATATCCCACATATCTGATGTGGGGGAAAGAAAGTACACCTTTGGGTCAGACTCGAGTCCTGATAGAACACGTCTCTGCTTCTTTCTCGGAGAGAAACTCAAAATGTGCTTCTATACCTCACTAGGATTTCAGAGTGTTTTGCTTCCTGGTGTAAGTTTCAAACCACAGATTTCCTGGAGGTCTCCAGTCAGGTAAGAAATAACCCCACCTGCATTTGTGTTCCTAGCCTAGACAGGTTTACTACCCATCATACAAAAACAGAACGAGGAATATATCTTTTTATTTTTCCAAACCACTTCAAAGCACTGTACCATGTGGACACTCACTTCTGGAACCAGTCAAGTTTGACAGACACTGTCGGTTAAACTTTCCATCCCTCTCTCCCCCGCCTTTTTTTCCCTTGGCTGTTAAATGCAGAGTTCAAACAAGGTCATGAAATCTTTGGTCCTTCCACTGAAAGTGACGCTTGCCAGCTTTGATCGTTGTTGGGGAAGGAGAAGACATTTTTATTGCTTCCACAAATTCATATGGATTAAATCTTGGCAATTCCTGGACGTTTTGTGAGACATAAAAGCTCGCTTCACGTATTATGCCAAGCTAGTGTGAACTCACTTAATGTTTGGGCTACAGGGGAAGGTCAGGCGTGTGAATGATAAGGGTTCTACCCTCAACTAAGGAGCACATGGTATTCTGAACAGCAGCTGAGACACTGAGGTTCAGATCAGTCACCAGCATTTTAGTGTGTTTAGACTAGAGAATACAACCTATGAGGTTAGCACATGGTCCACTGCAGATCTAGAACGTTGGGTTAACCATTCGTGATTTGTATTGTGCAAATCCAGGTGTTTTTGTGCTTTTAATAGAGAAATTAGGATTCCTACAAAGAGACCTTGCAAACCCAAGTTTCAACATAAGAAAATAGCATATCTGAGCATCAAAAATTGCTTGGCTTTGCTTCCTGTAGTCTTCAAAAACTCTTCAAACACTGAGCAATTCTCTGTTTACAAACAAAGTTTTTTTTTTAAAAAAAAAGAAGACTGAACTAAATTTGTTCTTACAGCTACATCTGACTATTTCCTGACATTTATATACTGTATATCCAAGTATCTGCATGTCAAACAACTAAAAATGATTAAATAACGGTACTGTATCTCAGTGTTTCTTAACACAAGCAGCAACTTTTAAGTTGTATAGACTTGATTCCCAAAATTCCTAAGCCAGCATGCCGGCTAGGGAATACTGGGAGTTGGCAATCATGATCTTAAAAGTTGCTGAAGTTGAGAAACACTACACTACCCATTAAAATAATTTAAAGCAGCTCACTTAATGTAGATCTCTACACAGTCAAAATTACCAAGCAGGAGTATTTTAAAGAATTAAGCTGCTACATCATCACTTAACTCCCTGAGGTGCTCAAGAGTTATTTACACTTCTCGGTATTTCATTTGTAAAAGACAAAAGCATATCTCCCATGAGCAATAATGCAATCTTAAAAATAGAATCTCCATTTTTTTTTTTTAGATAAACAACACTGTAATAATAAATTTACAACTTTAAAAGAAAGATAAGCTGAGAAAAGAGATTTTGGGCACAGAAGCCGTGTGAAATGAGGTGTCACGCGCCACGGTCTGCAGATACATGAGACAAATCCAAGAGAGACAAATCCTTGATTTCTTCTAGCAGGTGATACAAACTCCTCTTGCACTGGGTCTGCCGATACTCTTCATCAAATCCTTCCTTTACCTGGTTTGCTTTGGCCAGGTTCTGTGCCAGTTGCGTTTCCTCTGCCGTCTTGGTGACTTCCCTGACCAAGTCTGTTCTAGACATCTGGGGCCTCTGAGATTGCTCCGTTTCCGAAGTCTGGTACGGCTTGCAGCTGGTGATCTGAAGCTGGATCCTGTCCGCGTGGCAGCGAGATTCCTGTACAGAGATTTTCACCTGGGTAGAAAAACAACTCTTTTGAGTATAAGTCTCTTTCGTCAGACCTCCTTAAATAAAAAAACGACCCTTGGCTCCCGTTTAGCTGAGAAAGGTATAGTTTTATCAGAAATCAAGCTTATTGTATCGTAGTCATGAAAAGCCAGAATTGAAAATTGCATGGTAAAATCCCTTAGTTCAACACTGCCCACCCCCCACAATAGCTGCCTCCCATTACTCACCCACCCCCGGGCAACCGATGAGGTTGAAGCAAGAGGTTTTTATAGCGGACAACACAGACACACTTTGAGATACAGCTGGTATGCCGGATAACCTTGAAGCAGCATCTCAAGGAGATGCAGAGCTTACTTTCAGTTTCCCCCTAAGCTTCCCCATTACATTTTCCCCCACTCCCCACCTTTCCTTGTCGCCCGTCACCAAATAATTGTGAAGCACAACCGAGCGTAACAGCTGACACACTTGCTCGTTTCCATAAACAGACGGTGCGTGTTGTAAAAGCAGCGGCCCCCGCAAGCTTTTGAGCAACGAGGACCAGCGGAGGGAGGTTTTCCCACGGACCAGGAAGGGGGGGGCGTGGTTTCACTTGGCCCAGGTTCCTGATGGACCGTGGACCGACGCTGCAGCACGGGGGGCGGGGACCCTGTCATAAAGAGGCATCACTTACGGTCACATGATCGAAGAGATTCAAAGTCACCGTCTTCCCAACGGTGGGAGTGGCGGTAATTTTGCTGGGGAAACGCTGCAGAGAACCAGGTCGCCATTCACAGTTCCCGTCGGTTGGGCAGGAGATGACCAGCCCATCCTTGCTCCTCAGGTAAGCCGCCCCTTTAATACCGTACCTGTAAGAGAAAGGGCTCGCTTGACAATGAAGATTACCTTTATCCCTTTATATTTACCAGCCAGGAAGCCCGTGTGTCAAATGCAAGTCACTGGGAAAGCAAGGGGGTCAAACTCAACGCCTGGTGGACAGATCTGGCTTGCGGGGCTGCTCTGGAAGCAGTAAAGGACCGGCCCTTGGTGCCTCTACCAGTGAAAACGGAGCTCAGGAAGGCTGCCCGAGGACGTTGCAGCCGAAAATGGAGCTCAGGAGCCTGTTTTGGTGGCAGACACACCGCGGGTTACCGCAGGCGCCCTGGACAGGGACATTGAGCTGGCCTGCCCTCTGAGGCCAAACACACAACCCTGATGTGGCCCTCAATGAAATCGAGTTGGACACCCCTGAGTTAAAGAAACCAAAGGAAAGCCTAGATTGGCTGTTGAAGAAAAGAGCCCTCTGGATTGGCATCTGGAAGGTCATGTCCCAGATAACCTTATTCGGGAGAGGAAAACGCACTCTGTCTCAGAGACCGAGTGTCCTGGCCCCCAACCTGGTCCCAAGGAAGCGAACACGAGACCAAGGTACCAGCACAACCTTTTAATGTTTTTTTTTTTTTGTACGAATCCCGTTCCTTCATGGTTAAAAGGCGGCTTCAAACCGGGGGTGGGATTCTACCGGTTCGCTCCTATTCGCTAGAATTCGCTGTCTCTCACCTGTGGACTCTTACCTTGACAAAAATGTTTTCCTGCAATGGGTTCAGAGCAGCTTGAAATTCTGCCCTTGCCTTCCAGCACCTTGGCCACGCCCGCAGCCTTTCCTCACCCTCTTTTTCAAGATGCCTCCTCACCTGGGCACAAAGACGAGCACCCCATTGGTTCGGATTGAGTAGATGATGCCGTCCGCTGAGCGCTGCTCCTCCCTTGCAGGACTCTTGTCGCTGAAGAACATGCACTGGAAGAGGCCCGTGGACTGTTTCTGAACGTGCTGGGCCGCCTTTGCGAAGAAAGCAATTCCAATTAGCCACAGAAGTTGCTCTCAAAACCATTTAGAGCGGGGATGGGTGGGTGTGTGTCTCCAACCTTGGCAACTTTTAAGACCCGTGGACTTCAACTCCCAGAATTCCACAAGCCTTAAAGGGCGTCAAGGTTGGAGATCCCTGATTTAGAGTCACGGTCTCAGATAGCGTCAAATCCGGTGCCTCTAATGCTGCCTGTCCTTTCTTTGACTCTGGTCCCTTTGGCAGAAGTATCTGAACTGCTGGCTTGTTCTGTTCCAACAAGCAAATCAGTACCCTTGAAACAGAAAATTCGCTGTGGCTATTTAAAAGGTTACTAATCGGGATTAGAGAGCCAGTTTGGTGTTCTGGTTAGAGCAGCAGGCTAGAAGGTCAGCCTTCAAGATTTTCTCCCTCTGCTTTGCATCTTTCGGCTGTCATAAGTAACGGGGGGAGGAGGGGGGATATGGTTATGGGAAGTGAGCTGGAGGTATTGCAAACTACTACTGTATAAACTGAGGAGGGGGGAGAGCGCTTCCTTGCTTAGGTTTCCATTTCTTGCTTAGCTTTCTCTTCTCTGCACAGCTGCAAACCTTTATCAAACTATGCCAAGGTCAAGGGTCAGCAGCCTCATCACCACCTGGAGATGCCCACATGATGATATGCACAACTTTTAACTGGATGAGCCATTTGAACTATTGGGGGTGGGAACGTTGCCATCACTATGAGATGTATATGTGATTTACGCGCCTATTTTCTCAGATTCAGAATTCTATTGTAGCTACCACTTGACTTCCAGTAAAAGGTATCTTTCCTCTGATTAAAGGAGTCTTAAGTATTTCTTTCTTGGATTTTGAATGGAGCACCAGCTGACATAGAAACTGGGAAGAGGCGGGGACAGCCAGAGAGGACAAAGAGGAAATCAGTAATGCCGCAGTCACTGGCACACAGGAAACGGGACAGACGGGAAGTCCTTCCTGGCTGAAACAGTCACACGGTTAAGTCATGTGGTTTAGTTTAGTTGACTTCATTGTCACTGCACCACATAAAATGAAATTAAATGTCATCTTCAGTGTACATTATGCACAAACTAAAAATAAAACACAAACACACGTCCTTCACATTCTATGCAATTGAACGGAACATCCCTGATACTGCATTAATATTGCAATAATTCAACGGAGTTACTGCCCTGGGATGGAAGCTGTTTTTCAGCCTATTTGTCCCTGTTTTCATGATCCTGTACTGTCAGAATGTATTCATTAACTGGCAGAGACATGGTTAATGAAGTAAGCATGGCAACAGACCAGCCGATGGGAGCTCACAGCCTGGGTGTGGTTTGGCTGTGTGCATTGCTGAGAACTGAAAGTGAAACTAGTCTTGCTTGCTTGCTGAAACCGATATCTGCACTGCTTGTGTTTTTGCTTATATTACCTTGAAAAAATCTACAAATAGTATTGTAAATTTTACTCATGTTTATAAAGAAGTTAAGGATCCTGCTTAATCAGTCATCTGTGTGTTTTCGGGACTTGGAATTTATGCCGCAAACTCTAATGTACTGTCTGCCAGATGGTAATAGTTCAAAAAAAGGGTGCCCAGGATGAGATGGATCTTTAAGAATGTTTTGAACTATATATAAAGCTCTTCCAAAGAGGGGAGAGGGCAACCAATGATCCTCTAGGCAATGATGTTAAACCCTCTGGAGTGTTGTCCTATCTGCCACGGTGCAATTGGCAAACCATACAGAGGTGCAGTAAGTTAAAAGTCTCTCTCTGGTGCAGCAGTAGAAGGTCACCAGCAGTTTTCCATTCGGTTGTTGTTTTCTGAGAAGCCTCAGGTAGTAAAATCTCTGCTGGGCCCTTTTGACCAGGGCTGCAATGGGAGCATCCCAGGTCAGGTCCTCTTTCATGGTAACACCCAGAAACTTAAAACTAGCCACTTGCTCCACTTGTTTGTTTTGATACTCATTGTTTTTAGTCCTTGTTGGACCGCAAATCAAGTATCGAGGTGCCATTTTAGACAGAATACTGTCATTCATGGAACATCTCCAGAATTGCTACAGTGAAAAGGTTTTCAAACCTCAAGCACGCTTCTCTCTGTCTCTGTTAAAGCATGGATAACAGAAAATTGGTCTGTAGCCTTACCCGGTTCCTGTTGTTGATATGTCTGCATAGTTCTTCAAGTTCTTTATTGCTGAGCAAGCCGTCTTTTGTACTAACTCTGTCTTCTTCTCCTGAGGTGGCTGCTAACAAGAGTCTGTGGACAATTATATCTGCGTACCTCCTAATGGGTGATGTGAAGTGGGTGTATTTATCTAGAGCAAGACCTAAGGTAGAAAGGACGCTAATAAGCCCAAAGTCCACAAGACCAGGTGCAGAAATAAGAAACAGGCACGTCGCCCACATTACAGCAAATACCGTAATGGAAGAAGTCTTCCTCGGGACACGATCCAGTTGAAAAATAGAGCGCGTTTGACATGGCTTGAGTGACCATAGACCTCAACAGCTGGTTTACCAGGGGGTCAGAAGAGTCCACCGCTCTGTCCAGAGAGTCAGCTAATGCCTTGTTAGACCTGTCAACGAAAGAACTAAAGTTACTTCTCTTCATTGCTCTTCAATGCCATTTGTGGACTTGTGGACTTCAACTCCCAGAATTCCTGAGCCAGCTATACATGGCTGGCTCAGGAATTCTGGGACTTAAAGTCCAAAGGTCGTAAAGGGGCCATAGTTGTTGAGCCCTGCCCAATAAGTGTTTTGAAGCTGATAACTATAATAAAGCTAGCAGTGTGTGACGGCAGCCAAAGAAACCCATGCAGTCCTAACTTGCATTAACAGAGGCGGAGGGGATATTCGGCTGTTTCGGATCGGTTCTGATGTACCAGTAGTGGAAATTTTGACTAGTTCAGAGAATCTGGCTGGCCCCACCGACCCGCACCCACCCTTACATCTCCTATATTCCCTTGGTTTTTTTACCTCAGCTGATGTGCGCCTCAGCTGAGCTAAAAAACAGCACAGCTCACCAGTGTTGATACAAAGGCCCTGCGTGCTTTGAGCTCTGCGTGCGCATGAAGTGTGCGCTAGGTGCGTGTGTACAGCTCACCCGTGTTGATATAGAGGGCAGTCTTTCAGTCCTGTGCACATGCACGCTCTCTGAACCCCTAGGAAAAAAATTTGGAGACCCACCACTGAACGGAAGGATACAATCAAGATCAAGTGAGGTGCTAATCCCGCTGTATAAAGCCTTAGTAAGGCCACACCTAGAGTACTGCATCCAATTTTAGTCACCGCACTATAAAAATTTTTTTTTGAGACTCTAGAAAAAAGTGCAGAGAAGAGCAACCAAGATTGATTTCAACCAGGCTGAAAACGGGGTGTGCATGCCCCATTTACGCGAGCACAGACACTGTGGGCTGGTCCGTTGCTATTTCCAGGCCGGCCCGGCGGGCTGCATTTAAGCAGCCGGCGGGCCAGATACGGCCCATAGGCCTTGAGTTGGACACCCCTGGCCTAGACATATCTGAACATAGCTCGTATTTTCTTGGGTTCCATTCATCTAGTTGAAATGTTAGTTTATACTGCTCGTCCGTGTACAATGTGCCGTACCCTAAATGAACAATAAATCCACTTACCGCGTGTCAATTGAAAAGCCTTTTGCCCCGGCGCATTCTCGGACCTCGGAAAAAAATTCCTGCCGGGGTGGCGGGTGCTGACGAAGCAACGCCTGATGGGGGAACACCTCCCAAATCTTCTTGGCCACCCAGTGGTTTGCCAGGATCATGCACTCGGCTATCGTCTCGTGGACTTCCAGCGGCTGGCGGGGGATCAGGTCGTCGATGTTCTTCTTGTCGTCCAGCTGAACTCTGATTTCCACCCCTTCCAGCTCCAGGGCTCCGTAGCTGCTCCGCCTGGCTCGGAGGTGGCGGGCAACGTCAGTTAACTTCCTGATGGCCCACATCAGCTCGTCTAACTTCCGTCTCCGGGTATTTTCCTCCAGGCCTTTGAGCTCCAGGATTTCCTCTGCAGCAGTCAGGTCTTCCTCTAGCAAAGCCTGGGCGGCCTCGTAGAAGAGTTTGTAAGAAGAGCGAATGATGGTCCTCTTGTACTGGACTTTCTTTATTTCATAAGAGGCCTTGTCCAGCTCCCAGATAACGCTCAGGGCATACCTGAAAACAAATATTCAAATCATCCCCGACGAAGGTACTTAACAAGCAGCGTGTCAGGGTTCCAAGTAATATACCCCTAGCACTGGTCGCCAACCAGTGGGCCAGGGACCGCTGGTGGTCTGCGAGAAAATTTTGGGGAGTGATGGTTCTCTTGTATTGGACTTCACTCCTCCCCTCTCTGACCACCTGTGGGAATGTCCTTGGTTCCCAGGAGAAAGTACTTTGTTTTGGCTACAAAACCCCAGCTACCTCTATTCCCATTCTGTATCCCTCAGCTCCAGGGTGGCAACACGGAAGTCTCAAAATGGCCTTGGTCAGGTCAGCTTTAGGGTTGACGCAATGATGATGATAATAATAATAATAATAATAATAATAATAATAATAATAATAAAGGTTTACAAGTATTCTATGTCATTTAAAGCAATCACTTCACACATCCAGGCTCTATTTGGGTGGAAGGATGGAATTTTGAATAGCGATAGGCACAAAAAGAAAATGATCTGACAGCTACATCTCTCTCTTGGGAGATACAGAGAAAGTTATTCTATTGGGGAAGAATCTTTGCTTAGATTTAAGGACATTGTTATTCTACGTTTTCTGTTTTCGAGATTGTCTTATGCGATACTTATAATAAATTGGCCTTAGCGGATGGCAGCACTAAATAACAGAATTGGAAGGGTGAAAGGCTGGGTCAACCTTGAGACTGTAAGTATCGAACTACCAAACTGCTGGCAATCGGCAGTCAGCAGAGTTAGCCTACAGTACTGCCTTCTACCCCTTCATGGGTTACTGCCTTGTCGTGGCAAAGGGGCTTGCGTAGCTCAATGAAGCTATCAGCTATGCCGTGCAGGGCCACCCAAGGTGGACAGGTCATAGCTTGCTCCTGGGAAGGAAAGCTATGGCAAATCTAGACAGCATACTAAAAAGCAGAGACATCACCCTGCCAAAAAAAGTGCATAGAGTTGAGGCTGTGGTTTTCCCAGTTGCAATGTAGGGCTGTGAAAGTTGGACCATGAGGAGGCTGAGCGCCAAAGAACGGAGGCCTTTGAACTCTGGTGCTGGAGAAGACCCCTGCGAGTCCCTTGGACTGCAAGGCCATCCAACTGGTCAGTCCTGGAGGAGATCAACCCTGACTGCTCTTTAGAAGGCCAGATCCTGAAGAGGAAATTCAAATACTTTGGCTACCTAATGAGAAGGAAGGACTCACTGGAGAAGAGCCTAATGCTGGGAACAATTGAGGGCAATAGAAGAAGAAGAAGGGGACAGCAGAGAAGGAGGTGGATGGATGGAGTCCCTGAAGCAGTCGGCGTGAGCTTCAATGGACTCCAGAAGATGGTAGAAGACAGGAAGGCCTGGAGGAACGTTGTCCATGGGGTCACGATGGATCGGGCACGACTTGGCGACTAACTACAACGCTGCATTCTAAGCACTGTGCCACCACAGATCTTCTTAACAGAGTTGAATGACAGAGTTGAAAGGCACCTTAGAGGTCCTCTAGCCCGACCCCCTTGCTCAAGCAGGACACCCTATACCATTCCAGACAAGTGGCTGTCCAGCCTCTTCCGAGAGAAGCTTGACTTCTCCACTGCAAGGAGCTGATAAGGCTTAAAACTCACCTGTCCACGTTCCCAAGGAGAGAACATAAATTGGCACTCAAGATGGCGGGCAACATATCGTAACGGCGATCAGCTAAGTAGTAAGTAGTAGCCCTGAGAAATCAAGAGCAAAAATACTCAGTGGTTTTTTTTTTCTGTCACCATACTTTTTGAAGCTTAAAAACAACTAGATACATCTTGTAACACCGTGATCATTTTTTAAGCTTTCGAATCAGTCTGTATTCAGGCTTGTAATTACCGAATATAAAGTAACTACCTCGATCCCTGTGCTTCGCTACGAAACTATGTGATCGGGCTTAGTTTTGGGGAAGGAAAATAAGAGAAAAAAAATTCTGCTCCTGCCTACCAGCATCCATCGGTATTCATCTGGCTAGCGTCCTGTCAGGGTGGGAGAGAGTTGAGGGCTGTTTGGAACCTGAAACAGCATTTGCTGTGTGAGCAAGAAGGAGACAGCAAGGAGCCTGGGCGTGGCTTAGCTCAACTGTTCTGTACTAAAGCTTCTTGCTGCTGCTGGGAAACTAAAACTGAAACTCCTCTGCTTGTGTTTTGCATTTGGAACAGATTTCTTTCCAGGTGGGGAGGGGGAGTGGAACTCCTTAGCATCAGAGCGTGTTAATAATAATAATGTAGGAAATACTAATAGCTCTGATGGTCGTTTCGAAAAACCCTTTGTTAGGGAGCACCTAGAAGCCAAGAGGAACACAGGTGCCAAATTTCAAGTTCCTCTTGCTGTACAGCAGGAAAAGGCCTACCGTGCTTTGGCCTCCGTATCGGTGTAAGAATTGGCTGCCACAAAATGCGTCACGTCAGCAATGTGGACGGCCAGTTCCAGGTTGCCATTGGGGAGGAGCCTGATGGAGAGGGCATCATCTACATCTTCGCAGCCTTTGGGGTCAATGCTGAAGACCAAATGGGTCTCTCTCAGGTCAAGGCGCTTCTGCTCCTCCTCTGGACTTACTTGCCACGGCTTCTCTGGGACGAGCGCGGGCATCTCACACATCTGCGTGCATAAAGAGTGAGGCAACGAGAAGGTCGCGTCACGAACTGAGCACTGGTGTCATCTAGTTCAGTGTCATGCCCTTGTGAGAGTCGGACTCTGAGGGAGAGGAGGAACAGCCGACAGGGAGTGGGAGTGTGGCTCCGGAGGTTGTGGAGGAGGCTGGGGAAGGGCTGAGGCCGGCTGGGCAGTCAGAGGAAGACCCAGGCCCATCCCCTCTCCATCCTAGGGCACGCAGGGAGGAGAGGATAAGGGAGAAATATGAACGGCATGGACTACGGGGAGGAAAGGGCCCTGATTCCCTTCATGGGCTGCAGCTGTGAGAGCTAGTTAAAAGGACGGACATGCGTATGGGCCAGTGCTGGAAACAAAGTGTGGAAATATCTCTAGTCTGTCGTTCCTCTCTGTGTTTGGCGTCCTTCCCAGTGCGTGTTCTGATATGTGTGGACGTCTTCAAGCCCTTATCTTGCCTGGTTCCCTTAATTGCTTCAGTGTGGTTTGTATTATTTTCGCTCTTTATAATTTACAGGCATTTTTAGTTTAAACGGCATTTCCACCTTCTTGTAACTGCTTGTGGGGGAGTCTTTTTGTCTCCAATCAAGGATATTTGGAGCTTTTGAAGCAAAGTGAAGGAATAAAAGGGGCTTCGCCTGTTTTTGTGAGTGCGTTTGGAATATATACTATACGTACACGTACTATAGGCAGAGGCCAAACAAGCAGCAATTACAGCAGGGAAGAACACACAGCAAGACAGAGACACCCTAATAGGGCCTCCTCTTATTAGACCAGCTCTTCAAAGGTATAATAGCTTGTGTACAGCCCCTGATATTTGTTAATTTAATTTAAGAAATAGCGCCAAAGGAAACAAGAACTGGAAAAACTTACCTGTGCCTCGGAGAAAGGACTAACCGAAACAGTATTCTCCACGAGAATTGTTTGTATTTCTCCTTCGAGGTCGCCTATCCGGCCCACGACCCGCACAAAATGCCCGTTGGGGTACAGCGAGGTTGGTTCCCAAGAGTCTATACGCACGACCACCCGGAAGTCCTGACATGAAGCCACACCAGAGGGGGTCAGAAGAGCTGAAAAATATGTCTGCGCCCACCCACCCACCCTGGACGCTGAGGGGACACAGCCGCTCACCTGCAATGCCTCGGCCTGCTGGGTGCTGATTCGGATTTTAGGGATCCGGTAATCCCAGGGAGTCACAAGAACCTTCTGGGCGTTTTTGGTGTGCGGCGGCTGATTCTCTTCCCTGGATGGGAAAGTGACCACGTACTCACGCCAGTTCTTCTGCAGGATGCCGACCACTTTGCCTGGGAAGGGAAACCAATGCCGATTATTAGACTGACAGACTTGGAAGGGATCTTGTAGGTCATCTAGTCCAACCCCCCCACCCAAGCAGGAGACCCTACACCATTTCTGACCGATGACAGTCCAGTCTCTTCTTGAAAGCCTCCAGGGATGAAGCTCCCACAACCTCTGAAGGCAACTTCTGGGCCATAAGTTGATTTTTCTCATTGTCAGGAAATTCCTCCTTATTTCCAGGTTGAATCTCTCCATTGTTTCACCCGTTATTCCTTGTTTGGCTTTCAGGTGCTTTGGAGAATAGCTCATCTCTGGGGCAGCCCCTCAAATATTGGAAGACTGCTATCCTGTCTCCCCTGGTCCTTCTCTTCCCTAGACTAGCCAGGCCCAGGTCCTGCAACTGTTCATCGTATGTTTTAGCCTCCAGTCCCTGAATCATCCTGGTTGCTCTTCTCTGCCCTTTTTCTAGAGTCACAACATTTTTTTTTTTATAGCGTGGTGACCAAAACTGGATGCAGTACTCCAGGTGTGGCCTTACTAAGGCTTTATAGAGTGGTATTAGTATCTCCCTTGATCTTGATTGTATCCCTTTGTTAATGCAATTTAGGATTGTGCTGGCTTTTTTGGCTGCCGCTGCACACTTCTGGCTCGTATTTAACTGCTTGTCCACCAAGATCCCTCTCACAGTTCCTGCTATTAAGCCTGGTTTCACCCAGTCTATATGCGTCCTTTTGGTTTTTCTTGTCTAGGACTTCACTTTTCTCTATCCTGAATTTCATTTTGTTAGATAGGGCCCAGTTAACCCTGATAAGAGAGCAGAAGTATAACCGGGTCTGGCCGCCTGATCTCAACGGCTCTTCTCCTCGGCCACATACCAGTGGGCATGGGTTCGCCATAAACCTCCCCGGCAGTCTTCTCTTCCCCCTCAGTCTCTCCGAGGGCAGCCGTCCGTTCTTTCCATTCCTTCTGGGGCAATAATTCCACCGCCACCACGTCACCATGGATTGCCCTATTTCGGGCTTTTGTGCCGTAAATAAGAACATCTGTCTTGAGATCTGTGTACCAAGGAGGAAAAAAATAGGGATCAAGAGATCTTAGTATCTCCGGCATTAGAGAGGAGAGGAAAAAAAAACAACAACAGCAGGAGATTTTTCCATCAGTTTGTTCGTTAAGGATATTCATGGATAAGAGATGAATCCATTAAATGATGAATTAAATTAAATTAAAGTGGAACAATACTTATTCCATATGCAGAAAAAGCCTTGTTTTAACACAATAAATGTTAAGATGTGATACACTTGGCTTGTTGTCGTTTTTAAAAAGCCACCCAGCGTTTCAGGATATTATGTTGAGGTATTGCAACTGAAGAGCTGACCAGATGTAGCTGGTGCAATATAACGCTGATGCAATTGAAGAGGAATCAGCATTAGCATTGCCCTTTTAAGATGAACAACGAGTCCGCAGAAGTTTATATAAGGCAGCCATTAGAGGGCCTGTTTGTCCCTCCTGGTGTCCTGTATCCCTTGCAGAGTTCTCTGTGTAGAGTTCAGAAGAAAGACTGCTTATAAGGTATTTGCCTACCACTCACATTTCTGTATATAACTGTTGTATATAAACCACTGTTAAATGTCTAAGCCCCCGTGTGCTGTGTTTTGCTCTTGGCTTGTCCAATAATAGTAGTCGCACTGCCAATGCTCTGACATATTATCTTACTAATTTTTATCCCAATCCAATCCATGCCTGTTCCAAGTATCCCCAACAGCTCTGGGGAACCCATTCCCCCAAATGACCTCCAGGTTCAACTGAACCCACCATAATATCTGCAACAAAACACAGGAGCAAAGGTCAGAAAAAAGTAGAGGCAGCATTGTCAGAAGCAGATTCCACCCATTAAACTAGCCCCCCCTCTTTTTTTTCCCGGGCAGCCTAGTTAGGCCATGAATTAAAACAAATTTAAATTAAATTAATTAAATTGCCTCAAGTGTACATTGCATAGGAAGGCAAAAACTGACGTGGCAGGAGAGCCGAATGGCGTAGGCTGAATTGGTCCTCACCTTTTTCTTTGTTGCTAGTGCCTTGAAATCGCATGAAGGCCTCTACTTGGGCTCTGTGCTTATTCACACTCAAGACCCCCTGCAAAAACGAACAATAAAATAACAGAATATCAGAGCTGGAACTTGGAAGGGACCTTGGAGGTTTTCTAGTCCAACCCGCTGTTCACGGCAAGAGATCTTATACAGGGGTGGGATTCAAATTTTTTAACAACCGGTTCTGGTGGGCGTGGCTTGGGTGGTGGGCGTGGCTTGGTGGTCATGTGACTGGGTGGGCGTGGCTTGGTGGTCAGGTTAACAGAAGTTGCCTCCAGATATTGTATGTGCTTCATCGCTGGAGGTTTTGAAAAAGAGACTGGACAGGCATTTTAAGGGGATGGTATAAGACCAGGGGTGGGATTCTACTGGTTCGCGCCTATTCGCTAGAATTGGTTGTTAACATTCTAAGCAGTTCTGAGAACCGGTTGTTAGAAGAAATTACTGGGCTAATCCTGTCAGGAAGGCAGGAAGGAAACATTCTGGTGTTGCTTACAGAAACTGCCTCTCCGTCAACCCTTATTACGTTCCTGAGACAGGACTAGACTTCCTGTCTCAGGAACTTCTCTGGAATTTTTTTCCCCTCCTTTGCTGGTACTTTGCTTGTGTGGAGGGACCATTCAAAGTTACAACGGCACTGAAAAAAGTGACTTATGACCATTTTTCACACTTACGACTGTTGCAGCATCCCCACAGTCACGAGAGGCCAGGCGAGGAGATGCGTGCCTCAATGTGAGTGATTTTGAGTTGGCCACGCCCAGCCAGTGACATGAACACCAAGCCACGCCTACCAACTAAGCCACGCCCACAGAACCAGTTGTTAAAAATTTGAATCCCACCCCTGATACTATCCCTCTATTAATGTAGCCTAGGATTGCATTGGTTTTGTTTGTTTTTTTTAATTGCGGAGCCGTTTCAGAATCGTGCACGGATAAACTTTGATTTATTTCAGTTCCCTGATTATATACCGTAAATGGAGGGTTTTTTTTCTCAATTATATTGATAAGAGAAGCTTTATGGTTATCAGAGTATCAGGAAGTCAGAGAAAATCCTCAGTCGAGGTCTAAAAGAAGCGAAGAACTGAACCACGAAGGGCTTTGGAAATACTTAGCATAAGGTTGCTTCAGGATTCAAATACTAAAGAATGGAAATGACTGGCAGCCCCTACTTATTTTTGTTTGTGCTGGATATTCTGTTTTGATTTGCGGGCTGACATTCTTTTAAGTCTAAGTGCTGCCTGGAGGAATGCCGAGAATTTTTACGAGCCAAACAGTTTGAATATCCAAAAATGAAAATGTATTCATGCACGAGATAAATAAGTATTTTAAAAATAAAGTCACGTGCAGCGAAGTTGGTCCTGAATCAGGAAGGATGAGAAACCCCAGGAGTGTGTGTGTGTGTGTGTATGTGTGTGTGATTCTGCACTCAAGTCTTTTTAATACAGGTGAGTAAAGGTAAAGGTTCCCCTCACACATACATGCTAGTCGTTTCCGGCTCATCCCATTACAAAGCTTTCTGCGCATGCATTGGAAGCGTCACCTGGATGTAGAGTCCTGATTTGATTCCAGCTTCCAGGATCTCTGTAGGGAGATGCTCAGGGTATTCCTTCCCACTGTTTTCATGGCTTTCGCTTTCCCGTTCACGTCGCGACTGGAGTATGGAATCCAAAAGCTCGTGTGCGGCTTTTAAATCGGGCCAGAAGTTGTCCAAGTAATTCTGTGTGTACGGAGAAGAAGAAGAAGGAGAAGGAAGAGGAGGAGGAGGAGAAGGAGAAGGAGAAGGAGAAGGAGAAGAAGAAGAAATAAATAATTGGAGACCAACCGTCTGCCTTGTCTACTGATTTAACTTCCTTAATTGTACGATTGATGTCGGCTGGGCAAGGTGTAGTAAGGTTACTTCAACAGAATCTTGCAAGTCTCAATGTACATGTCTCCTCTCTGTATCTTTACATCCAAGAAACTAGGCAGGGTGTAAGAAGAACTGGCCTCTCCTGTCTCTAATTCTACCCTTTCTGCTTCTTTTACAAACACCCCAAGTTCAGCCAGGTCTTGGCAGGGGCAGCCATCAGCACTTTGAATCCAGGCCCTAAGTAACCCCCAAAATAGTTAAGTGACCAATTGTAAGCTGACGCACAAAAGAACAGCACAGAAGTGTTTACCTTGAATGAGATCACAAAGACACCTTCCGTTTCACTTCCAAACAGCTGTACCGCCTCTTCGTCCTCTGTAACCATGACGATGGGCATCTGGCCCGAGAAGTGATTATAGTACCACACAGAGGCATTGTAAATGCTCCTAGGAGAATCAGCGTTCAGATTTATCTTTAGGATGTCATGTTACATCTTCCCGTTTTGCTCTGATCCCGCCGTTCGTACGACTTCATGTCTGCCGTTTGAAAACATGCCACAACTGTCTAAGTCAGAGGTCTCCAAACCTGGCAACTTTAAGACTGGTAGACTTCAACTTTTCAGTCTTAAAGTTGCCAAGTTTGGAGACCTCTGATCTAAGTCTATGCAGTCCTTCATGTTCTGACCTAGGTTTCCAAGACACGCTTATCTTCAAAACAAGGCTTGTTTTATTGCAACACTGGGAATTATTTTCATTCCCAGCCGGTAATGAATCTCAAATGGTCCCTCGAGATAAGCACCCACCTTTCTTTCCCGTTAAGAGCTGCCAATAACAGAAGTGTCCAATGAACTAGAAAGAAAACCATTAACCTGCCAGCAGAACTTGTCAGAATGGAGAATCCAACGTTTCTACCCCCAAAATTAAGAGCTAATCTTTTGCCACATCCGCACAGGGCAAGACTGAGTCGTGAACTAGGGAAAGTGACAGTTGACAAGGGGTGTGGTAAAAGATTAAGGATTCAGTCTCCAGGCAGAAAGACATGTGTCAACCCATCCGTGGATTCTCCAATCGACGTGCCGGAGAAAGAAAACCAACCCAAGAGCTTCAAGAATGAGTCTGAACTGAACAAACGACTTTGCTTCCTGCAAAGGTTTCTCTACCTTTGCCTGTCCTTTATCCCTTATGGGAGGGGCAATGACCTCCAAGCCTTACTCCCGAGTCGTCCCTTTTGTCTCAGCTGCTCTTGCCTTCTAGCAGCTCTGCGCATGCACGCACTGGGAACAGGCTCCCCTGGTTCCTTTTCCTCGCTGCTGCCAGACTCCAGAGGCTCCGGAGTCAGCACCCCACTCCCAGATGGTCCTGGCCCCAGCTCTGCATCGGATGCAGGACCCTCATCCGAGTCCACCCCAGGCTCCCGGACTGGTCCCCGTTCTTTCCCACTGTCCGATTCTGCTGCCGTCTGCACAGGCTGCCGGCGAACCACAGCACTTCAGGCGTTCACTGATCAACACTAACGGGGAACTCTTTCCACATACCTTTACTGAAAAACTTTATTGATTAGGCCTTATCGGAGTATATTTTATCGGAATAAAAAATAGGGAACAGACCATATGTGAAAAATAGAGTATAAAACACATAAATGGAGGAAAATGCACATCTTATTTCGGTGTCACACCAATCACATCCAGGTAGGCAGTTCTCAGTTGTGCTGCTTTTGCCCCAGTACAGGTAATCCTCAACTTACAACCGTTCATTTAATGACCGTTCAAAGTTACAACGGCATTGAAAAAAGCGACTCGGGACCATTTTTCACACTTATCATCACCGCAACGTTCCCAGGATCCCATGATTTACATCCAGGTGCTTGGCAACTGACTCATGTTTGGGACGGTTGCCGTGTTCAGAGTCACTTGATCCCGCTTTTGCGACCTTCCGACAAACAAAGTCAACGGGGGATGCCAGATGCACTTAAACTACCGTGTTTACTAATTTAAGAACTGCAGTGATTCACTTAGCAAAGCGGGCAAGAGAAGTTGCGAAGTGGGGCAAAACTCACTTCACAAATTTCTCACTTAGCGACATGAATTATGGGTTCAATTGTGGCCGTAAGTCGAGGACTCAATGTATAAGACAATGCCATGGTGGCACAGTGCTTAGAACACAGTACCGCAGGCCACTTCTGCTGCTGGCTGGCTGCCAGCAGTTTGGCAGTTCGATCCTGACTGGCTTAAGGTTGACTCAACTCTCCATCCTTCTTAGGTCAGTAATAAAATGAGGACCCAGATTGTTGGGGGACAATAGACTCTGTAAACAGCTTAGAGGGGGCTGTAAAGCACTGAGAAGCAGTATATAAGTTTAACCGCTATTGCCCCCTTGCCTCTCCCTCCCTTCCCCGCCCCAGTGGTTAGAATGCAGTATTGCACGCTCATTCTTATTACAGTCTAGAGTTCAATCCTGACCGGCTCAAGGTTGACTCAAACTTCCATCTTTCTTAGGTTAGTAATAAAATGAGGACCTAGATTGTTGGGGGCAAGAGGCTGACTCTGTCAACCGCTTAGAGAGGGCTGTAAAATCATTGTGAAGCAGTATATAATTCTAACTGCTATTACCCTTTCTCTCTCTCTCTCTCTCCCTCTCTCTCTCCCTCTTTCTCTTCCTTCCTTCCTTCCTTCCTTCCTTCCTTCCTTCCTTCCTTCCTTCCTTCCTGGTGTGCAATGGTTAGAAGGCAGTATTGCAGGCTTACTCTGCCCACAGTCTAGAGTTTAATCCTGACCGACTCAAGCTTGACTCAATCTTTCATCCTTCTTAGGTCAGTAATAAAATGAGGACCCAGATTGTTGGGGGCAAGAGGCTGACTCTGTCAACCGCTTAGAGGGGGCTGTCAAAGCACTGGGAAACGGTGTAGAAGTCTAAGGGCTGTTGCTATTGCTACCCCCAGGCCAGGCCAGGCCTGATGAGGACCTGATGAAGGCGTCACCGCTGACCCAAAGTCGCACTGTTCAGGGCCGCGTTATGTGAATCGCGTACCTGGTCTGCCATTTCTCCAGTGATTCTCCCCGCTCTCGTGGCAAATAAGAAAGCAGCTGGAATTCATTAAAAAACACAATGCAGTCGTGACGGGCATCCCTCACTAAATTCCGCAGTTTATTGTGCTGCCTGTAGAAGAAGCAGGAGATAAAAAGACGCGGTCTGAGGCAGCACAACTTTATTATTTAAGACTCGAGACAGACACCCCCCATATTGAGACTTCCTGTTCAAATATATATATATGGACCTTCAGATAATACGTTATGTTAAACTACGCTAAGAACGGCAGAGGCAGAGGGTTGGGTTTGTTCTTCTTCTAAAAACAACGTAGTTTCTTGACATTATTGAACAGCTATATCAAAGGAGTTGTGTAATGTGACAAGGGGGCTGGGAATGTGTTTTCTTCTGTGCTCTGTTATATATTTTGACTTTCATCTCACGGCAGTGATTTACCGGAAGGCATCAACCACTTCGGTGAGGAGCAGGCGGCTGGCCAGGGGTTGCCCTGCGGCGTTTCCACCGGCTACCCGTCCTACCCCTGCCTGGGCACCCCCTCCCTGGCCTGCCTTGCCTGACAATGAGAATGCCAGGACCCCCTTCGGCCTGCCGGTCTGTTCAGCTGATGGGAGGGCTGATCCTGCTCCTCCCGAGGCTGCAGCTGGGATTGGAAGAGTCTTAAGGGTCCTCCAACTCAACTAGCAGACCCCCCCAAGATTAAGAGCCTCGTTCAACCACCTAACTCTAGAAAAAGCGCAGAGAAGAGCAAGCAGGATGATGAGGGGACTGGAGGCTGAAACATACGAACAACGGTTGCAGGAACTGGGCTTGGCTGGTCTAGGGAAGAGAAGGACCAGGGGAGACAGGAGAGCATCTTCCAATATTTGAGGGCAGGGGGTTGGACTAGATGATCTACAAGGTCCTTTCCAACTCTGTTAATCTGACTGTAATCTGATTTTAATGAACAAAAGGACCAGGGGAGACAGGAGAGCAGTCTTCCAATATTTGAGGGGCTGCCCCAGAGAGGAGGAAGGGGTCAAACACTTTTCCAAAGCACCCGAAGGCCAGACAAGGAAGAATGGATGGAAACTGAACAAGGAGAGATTCAACCTGGAAATAAGGAGGAATTTTCTGACAGTGAGAACAATCAACAATTGGAACAGAAGTTGTGGGAGCTTCATCACTGGAAGCTTTCAAGACGAGATTGGACTGCCCTCTGTCAGAAATGGTGTAGGGTCTCCTGCTTGGAAGGGGGGTTGGACTAGATGACCTACAAGGACCCTTCCAACTCGGTTAATCTGTTAATCTTCACGAATTTATTTTTGCAACACCACTGAAACCTCATAAAAAGGCAACGTAAGATGTATATCTAAATAAAAGAGCATCGCATCTCAACTTTAAGTATTCAAACTATGCGTAAGAATTGATGTGGTTGAAGTGTGAGTGAAAAATAATTCATTTACGGCCGCTGAAACATGCCTTCGCACCCATGACTTCCAAGTTTAGTGGGGGATATTTGACCCCATCTGTCAGACTGCAGGAAGGCTACTTGGGGAGGCAAATGGCAAATTGTGTGTCAGGAATGAAAACGATTTAGACGTATTATATAGGCATAACATGGAATCGTTTTCACCATCCAGAGAGTGTCCAACAGTTTAACAAAAAACAGTGGCAGAAAGATTTTAAACATTTTTATTAACTTGCTGTACTATGACTTTTGATTAAAATCCTGCATTACCTCTGAAATATATTCATAGATAATGATGCTATAATTAATGTCGGCTAGAAAAAACATCTCTGATTAACCTTTTATGTCTCAAGGGTATTTAGAGCACAGAGGTATTCATATAATCGCCAAGGCATATTATTAACCTTTGCAATTGATTAAAAAAAGAAGAAACCACAGTATATATTTTACAGTTTCATTCTGTATATCTTGGCCTTTTCCAATGACACTTGAAATCTGAAATAAATCTGCTCACTAAATTCTGAAGGAATATGAGATTTTAAGCATGTTTATTAATTTGCAAGGCAGATTAAATGCAGAACAGCCTGCAAATCTTCATATATTTTTTTCATTTTATTAATGGTATATTATGGATTGATTGATGCATGCATGTTTTTCTTCATTACCAGGGGAACAACCTGTATCCCTGAGGTTTTCTACTCCAATCCCTGCTGAAGCAGGAGATCCTACACCCGTGATGGCGAACCCACGGCACGCATGGCATGTAGAGCCATTTCTCTGGCCACGCCAGATGTCCCCGTTGCTCTTCTGGGTGGCGCCGGCCAGCTAGTCTTCGCACACGCAGGAGTGCCAGAAACTGGACGCTCAGCCCTCCTGGTGCTCCCGTTTTGGCACTTGGTGCCGAAAAGATTTGCCAACACCGTCCTATACCCTTCCAGACAAACGGCTGTCCAAAAACCCTCCAACGATGGAGAACTCACAACTTCCAGAGGCAAGCCATTCAGATTCACAGATTCACAGAGTTGGAAGGGACCTTGTAGGTCATCTAGTCCAACCCCGCCCGCCCAAGCGGGAGACCCTACACCATTTCTGACAGAGGGCATTCCAATCTCTTCTCGAAAGCCTCCAAGGATGAAACGGCCACAACTTCTGAAGGCAAGTTCTGTTCCACTGGCTGACTGTCCTCACTGTCAGAAAGTTTATCCTTATTTTCAGGTTGATTCTTCTTTTAACGATCATTCACATCACACGATCTTGAAACTCTGCCTCTGTTGATGCAACTGAGGACCGCATTGGCCTGTGAACTATTCAGAAGTGGTATTCATCAGGTTGTGACCGGTTCTGGAGAACCGATAGCGGAAATTTTGAGTAGTTCGGAGAACCGGCAAATACCGCCTCTGACTGGCCCCGCCAACCCCATCTATTCTCTGCCTTCCGAGTCCCAGCTGATTGGCTGGGTCTTCTTTGGTTGCCCTGCACAGGAGAAGGGAGCTGGAAAGCAGGTTAGTGGGGTGGAGAGGGAATGGGGATTTTGCAGTATATCCTTCCCCTGCCACGCCCACCAAGCCACGCCCACAGAACCGGTAGTAAAAAAATTTGAATCCCATCCCTGGAACTAACCCTCCCGGGGAAGACCGGATACCTGCGGCCTTTTTGCTGCTGCATCGCTTGACATGCGGTCTGCATGAAAACCAGGCCCTTCAGCTCGGGGAATTCCAGAATCTCCAGGTAATCTTGAAGCACCTTCCAGTCAGGCACAACATAGTGAGTGACATCGTCGGAGAGCAACTTCCCATCTGAAGCAGGAAAAACAACAACAAAATTCTGTGATACGTGTACGTAAATGCCTATGTATTTACGATTTGTGCGATGGAAGTTTTGACCAAGCTAAGCCTGACAACCATTCCTGCTTTATCTCCCTTTAGTTTAGTTTAGTGTCATTGCACCTCGTACAACGAAATTAAATGCCATCTTCAGTGTACATTATGACTGTGAAAATAAACACAAACGCACATCCTTCACAATCTATACAATTGAACTGAAAACTCCCGATATTGCATTCATATTGCACTATACAGTAGAATGCAATAGAGCTCCTGCCCTGGGACAGAAGCTGTTTTTCAACCTATTTGTCCTTGTTTTTATTGTGCTGAACCGCCTGCCAGATGGTAATAGTTCAAAAAAAGGGGGTTCCCAGGATGAGATGGATCCTTGAGGATGTTTTGAACTTTCTTAAGGCAGCAGGCGCTATAAAGCTCTTCCAAAGAGGGGAGAGGGCAACCCATGATCCTCCGGGCAATGACATTCACCCTCTGGGTCAGCCAACAAAGCAAGAAGCAAAAAAGCAAAGCTGGCTGAGGAACTCTGGGAGTTGAAGTCCACGAGTCTGAAAGTTGCCAAGGTTGGAGACCCCTGCTCTGGAGTGCTTTCCTATCTGCCCCGGTGCAATTGGCAAACCAATTGGTGCAGTAAGTGAAGATACTGTTTATTTCTATTTGCACCTAGTAACCTTCGGGAACCGTCCCCATTTTTATTTACAAAATTCGTTGTATTCTTTCAAACCCTTACTGAAAAAAAAAGGGGAGAAGCCTTATTTTTCACCCTTTTTTTTTCCTTCAAAGGACTAAACTTTTTTTTTCTTTTCTGTTTAAATCAGAACTTTCTAATATGTCTTTTTCTTGGACTTCTTAACAAGCTTTAAACTTCAATATTACGTTTAGATCCCTCCCTCCATTGGACATGGAGCTTCTTCCGTACTCCTCAGCACCAGCAGTGACTTTTCCCCACCACACGCCTCTTTCTAACCCAACACGTGTTCACACATTCACACGTTCTCCACGTGAAGCTAATATTTTGAGATCACACAAGAAACCCGCCCCGTGGCTCCCCCCCCCCCTGGCTCCTCCCCCTCTCCCAAACATTCAGAAGCCCCGCCCGCCCCGGGAAGGCCGCGAACGACATTCACACGACCACCCAATTCCCCGAGCCGCCGCCCCGCCCACTCCAAGCTCCGCCCCCCCCCGCTCTCAACGCACCGCGGGGACAGCCCAACCGGCAGAGGGCGCTGCCGCAAGGCACGTCCGGACGCAGGTAGTGCTCGCGCACCACCCGCATGGAGCGGCCTTGCAGGCTCCGCAGCAGCAGCACCTTCTCGGTCCGCAACATC